GGCTGTCCGTTATAGCAACGATTCTCTTATTGCTGCGGTGAACTATGGGGTGGTGGAAGCGTTTATTTGGCCCTGGGAACAGCAGTGAGTGCCACCTACTGCCTCTGTGTACTGGAGGCAGCGCCGTGGAGACTCCAAGAGGGAGAAACCCCCCGCTCTCTCCTGGGCTCGTCCCGTTTCTGCTCTTCGTGAGCAGTTCTGCTCTCCCTCTGCGCTGAGCTCAGCTCCTGCTCCCATCTGAGCTGCTCGCCCTGCATTGCTGCCCGCCTGCCTTGCATGCAGCCTCCCCTCCGCGTGGAGCATCTCCACCCCGAGCGCCGCGCAGCTCTTCCATTGCAAGCCAGCAGGCAGCAGCCATCCTGAGCGCAGGAGAGGAGGAGCAGCTCCTGCCACATCTGCCTTCAGCTCTGCAGGAGAGCTGAGGGGAATCCGAGCGTGGCTGCTGGAGGGGTTGGTCAGAGGAGCAGATGGGAGAGGAGAAGCTTTGGCTGCTGCTGAAGGCGCTGCCGAGTGTCCGTGTGTCGGCTCAGAAGCAGCGCAAGGAGGGAGAGCTGAGGGTTGGGAAGGAGCCCGAGGCGCAGCCTGCAGCTCTGAGCTGGGATTGCTGCGCTTTGATTAGGAGGAGAACCAGGGCTTTAATTAAAGCCGCACGGGCGAAGGTCCGATTCCGCATTCGCAGCGTTGAGTGCTTGCTTTAATTAAAACCAGGACCAACGAAGCCGCCTCTCCTCAGCCCCCCGGCTGCTGATGGCAGCGCTTCCGCAGGCCCTGCGTTTTACTGCCTCCAAACCAATGGGTCCTGGAGGTGTGGGCAGCCCCCCCCCCATCCTTTTAGACAACGTTTATTTATTTTCTGCACAGCTCGCAGTGGGAGAAGCGGAGTGCTGACCCCATCTCTTAATTACTGCCGCATCCTCCCTGGCCGTAACCTTTGCGCAGTGCCCTGCTCGCTAATTAACAGCTGCCAGCACCCAGCTAGGAGCTTTCCCAGGTTCCCCCCCCCCCCCCGGTGATTTAAAGCTGCTGAGCCGTTTGTCCCCATCCAGGCCGTGGCTCTTCAGGTGGCGGCAGCAGTGTTGGGGCAGGCTGTGATTTAGGGAGATGCCGAGGGCCATCAATCAGCGGAGGCAGCGCGCCGGCCTGGCCCGTTCCTGGCACCCGGCGCCAAACAGCCAGGCTGACTGGGTCGGTTTTATGGACGGGAGAGGATTTATTGTTGCAGGCAGATAAGGGGAGAGCAGAGAAGGCGGCACACCCAGCGGGGCGGCTGAGAAACAAATCCAGCCTCAGTGCCCTCCTGGGTGGAAAAGCAGAGCGTGGCGCAGGCTGGGCCAGGTTCCTCTAATGGATCCCCCTCCGTCTTGCAGTTCTGACCCCCACGGTGGCTCTTTCTCCCCATTCTACCCTCCTGCCTTTGCCATCCGGCTGTGCTTTGCCTCCTGCCCCTCTGGCTGCCTTCTGGTTGCAGTGTGGGGCAGCAGCACCTCCATGGGAGCGGAGGGGGTCCGGCCTTGCTGTGCTGATGGGCAGAGCTGCTCTCGTGGCAGGCTGTGCATTGAGGCCAAGCTGTTTGCAGAGCTGCTGCCCGTGTTTGCTCCTGAGCTGGCTGTTCTGAGTGCTCTGACTGCCATGGCAGAGGCCCTGGGGATGCAAAGGGGGCGCGATGGGAGCGTGGCCCCGCGCTGCCCCTCTCCTCCAGGCTCGGTTTCTTCTGGCCCTTCTTATTGCGATGTTCTCTGAGCCGTGGCTGAAAATGGGGCATTTCTGTTGTGTTTGTTTTCTTTTTTGTTGCACTTCCTCTGCAGGGAATGGGTACTGAAGAGCAGCATCCTGATAGCCATGGCTGTGTACACCTACCTGCGGCTCATCGTGGACCATCACGGCACGGCGCCGCTGCAGGCGCTGCGTCAGAAGGAGGTGGATTTTTGCATCTCCCTCCTCCGGGAACGGGTGAGCAGAGCAGGGCCCTCCGTCTGCACCCTGCTTTCCTCCAGCGGCGCTGGCAGGAGGCTGCACTGCTTCCTTTGGGTCCCTGCAGCACGCAGGCAGCTCGTGGTTCATCCCCACCGAGGCCGCGCTCCCGTTCCGTGTCCTCGCCCCATCCTTCGCTGCCCGCCTTCCCTTCCTCCCTCCGGGTTGAGAGGGACCCATGTCACAACCCCCAGCTTCAGAGACTGGCTGAGATCCTGGAGAGAAAATGTCAGATTTATGGGGCTGATTGTTTGCTTTGCAAGAGAGGGAACGTTTTAAAATAGCTGCTGACCTTCCCGCCTGTCAGCCTGCCTTCTCCCAACCTGCGGGCTTCAAAGAGGGGCGCTGTGCCAGGGTAGGGGTGGACGTGTTGTGCACAGGATGAATCATCTGCCGCCGGCCTCAGCCCGAAGGACTGCGTGTTCCTCTCCCCCCCCCCCCTAAGGGGGGGGCGCACTCAATGTGATGTTTTTTCCTCTCCTTCCCCCCCCCTCCCCCCCCGCAGTTCATGGATTGCTTCATGATCGGCCGCGACCTCGTGCGGCTCCTGCAGAACGTGGCCAGGATCCCTGAGTTCGAGCAGCTCTGGAAGGACATCATCCACAACCCACAGGTGCTCAGCACGCAGTTCACAGGTGGGTAGGGCTGTGCCTTGGGGGGGGGGCTGAGCCCATCCTGCCCCACTGATCCTGGCCCCAAAGCTGGGGCTGCTGTGCGCAGAGAGCCGTAACGACGCCGTCTGGTTCCACCTCCGTTGGTGCTGAGGCCCACGTGGCTGCTTGCAGAACCCATTGCCAGGGGGAAGGAGGATCCCCCAGGGCTGGGGCTGAGCAAGAGCCGCTCTGCTCTGGCACTGCACGGCTTCTGCCACTGTCTTAAATGCTGCAGAAGCCTCCTAAGAGGCGTTTGGGTTCCAAGCCGTGCCGAAAAGCGGACAATTCAGACAGCTGAGCAGGCAGAGAGAGTGAGAGCACAGCCTGCGAGACGGGATCGCGTCGTTGAACGTTTCACTTTGCGTTTCTATCAGCTGCTTTATGAGCTGAGATGAGCAGGAGCACAAAGATGGGTGACGTCCGAGTTTCTCTCCAACCTGAGCCCCGAGGAACCCCAGTGGCACCGAAGCACAAACGCAGGGGGTGCAGCTGCTGGCTCTTTGTGGATGGGATTCCGTTCATCTCAGCAGCTTTCCACCCAAACGCTCGGCTCGCTCTGCGCTGCCTGGGTTGGGGTGGATGTGGCAGAGGAGTGTTTTATTGATGGGTCTCACTGCTATGAATTATTAACTTCTCTCAGGGCTGCCACATCATTATCTGTCTGCAGTGAGCCCTCAGATGCGGGGCCTTAAAGTGGTTCCCCCCTCCCAACCCCAGCGCCTGCTCTGCTCTCTGGGGCCGCGTTAACGCCACGTTAAAGACCACAGATTGTGCCCAGGGGAAGGGGCAGCGTGTTCTGCTGATTAAATGCTGCTCCCTGCAGCTCTTTGGCTGCTCTTCCATCTCCAGAATCCCTCCTGTCGGTTCTCATTGACTGCCATGCTGGCTGGAGGCCGCAGGGACAGCGTTCCCCTTTCTGGGGTCTCATGGGGACTTGCAGGGGCTCAGCCCCAGTGCTGGCTTTGTCACCTCTGGATCTTCCCAGCATCCTGCCTGTTTTATGGGGCACCTTATGGGCATCTCTGCTGCTTTGTGTCCCTTCCCACGTCAGCAGGGGCAGCTGACGGCTCCCTGGTTTGCTGCACTTGGAGCCCAGTGGCCCCACAGCACAATACTGAGCGGGGGCTGAGATCGGTGCCCCCAGCTCCTTCCTTCCCTGCTGTGGCTTTGGCCTTTGTTCCCTCGATCCCATGGTTTGTATTTGCCACCTCTTTGCCTGGCAGCACACACAGCCGACCCGAGGAGCCGTTCTGCAGCTCTTCACCCTTTCCCCCCGGCTCTGCTGCACTCTGCGGTTCCCCCCTGCAGCCCAGCAACGTGAGCTGTGAGCAGGCTGAGCGCTGCACAGCTCCGGCGCCCGCCTGTCTGCATGGAGCAGCCTGCTGTAAATCCTTCAGGTCCCATCCAGCAGCAGCACAGCCTCCAAACTCAAGCCATAAATTTCTCCTCTTGCAGCTGTTTGGGAACGAAAGCGGCTTTTGCAATCTCCCCTCCTGCTTCCCCTGCCTCTTCTCCATGCACGTGAGGCTTTTTCTACATCCGGGCGTTGCAGCAGGGTTGCCTTCACCCCGGGGCTTCATTACTGCAGAGCCTGGAGGATTCTGTGAGTCCTCCAGCCCTGCTGAGTGCTGCACCTGAAGCCCTGCGAGGAGCAGAAGGGATCAGCAGGGGGGGGAGAGGGGGAGGCATCGCTGTGCTGCCTCCCTATGGGTCGGATGAGGAATGCTCCGTGGTGAGGCTCTGCATTCCTTCATCCCTCCTCCAGATCCCGTTCTGCTGTGCTGCAGGTCCCCCCACCCCCCTCCTTTCTCACTGCTGCTCTCTGACAAAGCTTTCTCTGGCCAAGGCTTGTTCCAGCAGGGCCATTCCCAGCCAAAATCACCATCTCTCTCCAGTCCCAGCGCCTTCGGCCGTTGAAGAAGGAAGCGCTCTGAGCTGAGCTCCCCCCTGGGTGCATCCCTCCTGGGGCTGTGCAGCCCTGTAACCCCGTCCATCTCCCTGCAGGTGTCCTACAGCTCCTCCAGTCCAGGACCTCGCGCAAATTCCTGGCGTGCCGCCTCACCCCCGACATGGAGACCAAACTGCTCTTCATGACCTCGAGGGTGAGCAGAGCCTTCGCCCACCCCCCCGCGTGGGGACGGGGGGCACCCGGAGCGGAGCCGGGTGCTGAGGCAGGGTGGGCTGCGGGGAGCTCTGGCTGCTCTGCCAGGCCGAAAGGCCGCTCTGCGGTGGGTTATCAGAGCTCTGACAGCAGCGGTGCTGTGCGTGAGGCCCGGGAGCTGCTGACAGCACGCGGCTCTTATCTGTGCTTACAGCCACGCAGATCCACCCCGTCTGCTCCCCCCTGGCCAGGCTGAGCGCTGCTTGCAGGCCGGGTGGTCCCTCCTAAAGCCTGGAGGAGCTTTCAGCATCCCCAGAGAGAAACCCACGTTTTGCCTTTCCCCTTCAGGTGCGGTTCGGGCAGCAGAAGCGATACCAGGACTGGTTCCAGAGGCAATACCTGTCCACCCCTGACAGCCAGTCCCTGCGCTGCGACCTCATCCGTTACATCTGCGGCGTGGTGCACCCGTCCAACGAGGTGCTCAGCTCCGACATCCTGCCTCGCTGGGCCATCATCGGCTGGCTGCTCACCACCTGCACGGTGAGTTCTGACGGCCTTCGCTGCTCCCGCTGCCCTCACAGCCCCTGCATCTGTGATCCCCAAAGTCCTGGTAAGCCGAGAGCTGTGGGATCCCGTCCCTGCCTTGGGGGTTGACCTCCTGCCGCTGTGAGTTTGGGGCTCAGGAGCTGCAGGGCAGCAATCAGAAGCTGCAGGGCAGTGATGACATTGGGCTGTTCCATGCTCTGCGTCCCAGCTTTGGCCCTGCCACACATTAGGTCCTTTGGGATCAGCTTTCCCAGCTCCACCTTCCATCTTATCACGCCCTTTGCTTTTGCTTTACGTGCTCAGATGCCTCTGAGGTCCGTGCAGGAGCAGGAGGCCCCTTCACTCATCCCTGCCTTGGGGGTTGACCTCCTGCCACTATGAGTTTTGGGGCTCAGGAGCTGCAGGGCAGCGATGACATGGGGCTCTTCCATGCTCTGCATCCCAGCTTTGGCCCTGCCACACGTTAGATCCTTTAGGATCAGCTTTCCCAGCTCCACCTTCACAGGATCACAGAATTGTAGGGGTTGGAAGGGACCTCCAGAGCTCCTTGTGTCCAACCCCCCTGCCAAAGCAGGTTCCCTACAGCAGGTCACACAGGTTATCCATCTTATCACGCCCTTTGCTTTCACTTTACGTGCTCAGATGCCTCTGAGGTCCATGCAGGAGCAGGAGGCCCCTTCACTCATCCCTGCCTTGGGGGTTGACCTCCTGCCACTATGAGTTTTGGGGGTCAGGAGCTGCAGGGCAGCGATGGCATCGCGCTGTTCCATGCTCTGCATCCCAGCTTTGGCCCTGCCACACGTTAGATCCTTTGGGATCAGCTTTCCCAGCTCCACCTTCCATCTTATCACACCCTTTGCTTTCACTTTACATGCTCGGATGCCTCTGAGGTCCATGCAGGAGCAGGAGGCCCCTTCACTTCTGCTCAGGAATTTCCCCCACCTGGTCTCAAAGCTCCCCCACGAATCAAATCTTTATCTGTTGGGTTTTTCTTCCTTCTCCAGTCCAACGTTGCTGCTTCCAATGCCAAACTGGCTCTGTTCTACGATTGGCTCTTCTTCAACCCTGAGAAGGACAGCATCATGAATATAGGTACAGCGGGGGTCGGAAAAGGGGCTGATGGCTTTCGGAGCTGGCAGAGGCCGTGGGGTCAGGAGGGGGGAAAGCCCAACACTTCATCTCCAGAGAGCATCAGTCTCCTTCCATGGGTTCTCCAGCCTTGGGGGGCTGCTCTGATGGGCCTGCTGGGGTCAGCAGGAGCCCAGTTTGGCTGCCTGAAGTCTGGTTGTTATTTAGGAGCCAGAAGTCCCCTCTGCACTTATAGGGCAGCAAGGAGGGGGGCATCCGTGGGGCTCTCAGCACCGTGCTCCCTGCTTTCTCCCACCAGAGCCTGCCATCCTTGTGATGCATCACTCCATGAAGCCTCACCCTGCCATCACCGCCACGCTGCTGGATTTCATGTGCCGGGTGAGCTGCTCCCTCCATGCAGCTCCTTTTAGGGGCTGCAGCCGCATCCCCTCCCCACCTTCTGCTGGGTGCCACCCCCAGAGCTGCACAGCCTCCCCCTGCAGGCACCACCAGTGCAGCACAAAGCACCAAGCAGCACGGCTGCTGCTCCAGGGCTGCTTCCGGAGCACCAAGTTTGGGCCCACGTGTCCTTCATTAGCGGGAACGCACGTAAAAACTTCCCAGCTCTGCGAATCGACCCTTCCAGAAGGATGAGAATTAGGAAAAAGGCTTCTGAATCGTTCCCCTGTAGCAGTACCCAATGCAGTGTTTGGCCCAGCGTCGTCCCCAGGGGGTAAACACAATCTGGATTCGATGTTCCCCAGCCCAAGCCATCCCTTCATCCTCCCTTTGTCCTTGGGCAGGACGTGGGGCTGTGCCCCCCCCAAGGGCTGCTTCTGCTCATTGCGTCCCAGGGAGAGCTGATGGGTTTCTTGGAAGCAGAATCGCAGAGCTGTGCTTGTCCAACAGCAGCAGCTGACTCAGGATCTGGGTGGAAGGTTGAGCCTCATTTCGGGGAGTTGTTTTCTTCCCTCCAGAAGCGCAGAGCTGCGTGTGGACGGAGCAGAACGTTGCCCCACGCTCCCATCTCTTATTCCCCCTCTCCTGCAGCTGCTGCTTGGAGCACAGCTCTGCCTCCAGGGCCTTTTGCAGCCCCTGTGTGGTTTTCTCACCCCTGGGAGATGCCCAGGCTGCTCTGCGGGGCAGGGAACCAAACATGGGCTGCTCCTTCTCCCGAGGTGCTGCTCTCAGCTCTGCCCCCCCTCTCAATCCAGAGCAGCACAGAGCACTTGGGGTTGGAAGAGACCTTTAAAACCGATCTCCTGCAGCTCCCCTGCAGCAAACGGGGGCACCCACAGCTCCGTCGGGTGCTCAGAACCCAGCCGGCAGCCACAGCCTCACTGGGAAGCCGCAGCCGGAGCCGGCTGTGTCCTGGAAGGCGCTGATGCCGTCGTGTTTTCTCCCTTTCAGATCATTCCCAATTTTTACCCCCCTTTGGAAGCTCACGTTCGCCAGGGGGTCTTCAACTCCCTCACCCACATCGTGGAGAAGCGCGTCCTCGCGTAAGGCATCGCTGGGTTCTGCTGCATGAGCGCCAACCTCCCCGGCTCTTTGCTCTTAGCAAACCTGACGGGAGCAGGAGGGCGAACCCAAGGGCCGCCAGGGGTTTTTTTGGGGGGGGGCTCCGGTGGGCTTTGCCCTTGTGGGGCTTCGGCTCCGCAGGGAAGCAGGGGCTGCGTCCCGGTTCTTCTTCATCGCCTTCCTTCCGCAGCCACCTGGCTCCTCTCTTTGACAACCCCAAGCTGGACAAGGAGCTCCGAGCCATGCTGAGGGAGAAGTTCCCAGAGTTCTGCAGCTCCCCCTCGCCCCCCATCGAAGGTAACGAGGAGGTGGGGAGCAGGGGGGGCCGCAACGGTGCTGTGCCAGAGCGCGGCTCTGAGCTCAGAGTGGGGCTCCCAGGAGAGCTTTATGCCCGTGATCTGCCCTCATCTCAGCCTTGTCCTCCCTCTGCTCCACGGGAGGTGCTTCCCCTCCTGTCTCTATGCGCTCCTTGATCGGCCTTAATTAGGTTAAACGAAGAGCAAGCGTTTCTACCCTGTGTTTGACCGGAGAGAGCGCTGCGGCTTTGCCAGCCCTACCGAAGGACGGTGCCTTGTAGCCCGTCTGCTTTCCCCACAGCATCGCAGCACAGCCCACCCCCCCAGCAGCCCCACGTGGTGCCGAGCTGCTCCACGCACCCTGCAGCACGTGGCGATGGCTGCGTGGAGCTGCACGAGCTCCCATCCCCGGGATGAGCTGCGTTGCTCACCCCGAACCTCTCTGCCCTTTGCGGAGCTCCTCAGCTCCCCCAGCCCAACGCAGCCCCGTCCCGTGTGTGGCCTTCACTCCCTTTGCCTTTGTGCCCACAGTCAAAATCGAGGAGCCCGTTTCCATGGAGATGGACAATCACATGTCAGACAAAGATGACAGTTGCTATGACAACGCCGAGGCCGCCTTCAGTGATGATGAAGAGGACCTGAACAGCAAAGGTGAGAGCTGCAGGGCGTGAGCAGCAGTGCTGGAACGGCCCCAGGCAGCATCCACCAGCACGGCCTCCTGCACAACAACAACTTTCCCCATCAGCAGTGCAGATTCCTGTGCTCCAAGCAGACCTGGATCTCAAAAACCAGGTTGCCTTTTGCAGGAGGTGCTCAGCCCTGGGCTCTGCACTCGAAGGAGAGTCGTTGGCCTCCTCTGCTTGCATGGCGCTCTGCCCCATGGCTCAGCACCGTCCATCATAGAATCATAGAACCACCAAGGTTGGAAAAGACCTCCAAGCTCCCCCAGTCCAACCGTTCCCCCATCACCAACAGCTCCCACTGAACCACGTCCCTCAACACCACATCCAGCCTTTCCTTCAACACCCCCAGGCTCGGTGCCTCCCCCACCTCCCTGGGCATCCATTGCAGTGCTGCCCACCTTTCTGAACAGTAACACTTCCTCATGTCCATCCAATCTCCCCTGCCGTGGCTTGAAGCCGTTCCCTCTGCTCCTATCCCTGATGACACCAGAGCAGAGGCCGACCCCCAGCTCCCTGCAGCCTCCCTTCAGCAGCCATAGAGAGCAGTGAGGTCCCCCCTGAGCTCCTCTTCTCCATGCTGAACATTCCCAGCTCCTTCAGCCTCTCCTCCTCAGCCCTGTGCTCCAGACCCCTCACCATTTCATTGCCCTCCTTTGAACGCGTTCCAGGCCCTCAACGTCTTTCTTGCAGTGAGGGGCCCAAAACTGGACGCAGCACTCGAGGTGCGGCCTCACCAGTGCTGAATGCAGGGGAAGCTCTCTCCACCCCACAGCCCCCTCTGGATGCCCTTCTGCTCCAGCACCCGGCTCTGTGTGATGAGTGCAGCACAGTCTGTGCCGTGGGTTCTTTGGGAACAGGCTGTCCCTGTTCTCAGGCAGCAGCTGCTGCTGAGGCTCACTCTTCTCACTGCTCGCTTTCCATTACGCTCCGTGAGCCCCTCTCGAAGCTGTGGGGCTGAGCAGGGGGCGCAGGGCTGGAATCCTTCTGCCGGCTCCCTGGGGCTGGAGGAGGCATCGCCAGCAGGTCCTGATCCTGGCATTCAGGCTCTGGGGGCTTCTGCTGTCCTGTAGGCAGCAGGGGGGGGGGGTCCACAGCCCCAGGATGGGGTGTGGGATGGCGGCACTGCCTGCAGTTGTTGGGGCTCGGGGTCGGAGGCCAGGTGCAGAGACTCCTGCAAAGGGGATGCCATCGTTTGCCCCATTCCATCCTCGCAGCTCCCCTTTGCGAGGGCTTCTGGGCTGCGCTGCAAGCTTACGACCCAGAATGAGATGAGAGAGGGAGTGGGGAAGTCCTGGATGCGGGCAGTGAGCAAAGCTGTGTGTGTGAGCACGTGGAGACGGGCACAGCATCGCTTCTGGGCCTGGGCTGAACGGGAGCACAGCTCTGTGCATCCCTACGCCTGCATCCCAGGCTGCCTTCCCGAGCACGGGCACCTCGCAGGGGTGAAGGCAGGGAGGCTGCACCCTGCACTGGGAAACCCCTCGCGGTCCCACAGCGCGGCCCCACACCGCAATGGGGTCCTGGGTGCCCCTGAGCGATCGCAGGGACGCTTCCTTGGTTGCAGGGAAGAAAAGGGAGTTCAGGTTTCATCCGATCAAAGAAACCATCGTGGAGGAACCCGTGGACATCACGCCGTTCCTGGACCAGCTGGATGAGTCTCTGAAGGACAAAGTGCTGCAGCTGCAGAAGGGGAGGTTGGTTTGGGATGTTCCATGTCGGCGTCTTTGGGGCAGCCAAGACCTCACGTAATGCAGCCCTGCTTGCTGCTCTCGGAGCCAGCAGAGCCCTGCAGGTTCAGACCTGGGCGCAGCAGCGCTTTCTGCCTCGGTGCTGGGAAGGCAGAAGGGCTTTGGGCTCCCGTGCTGCTGGCGGTGGGGGCTGTGAGTGCATGCTGTGCCTGTTCCACGGATCTGCACGTTCCCCAGCCCTGCTCTTGGATGCAACCTTGGAATTCACGCCACCTGAGGAAGGCTCTGTCAGCAGCTCTTGCTTTTCAGACCTTGGCTGCTGGAACCGAATTGACGGCTCGTGGCTTTTAAGTGCATTTCATCTGATGCTTTCAGTCATTCCATTGGTTTGGCCTTGCTCGGGGCGTGCTGGAAGTAGCTGTGCTCCCCCAGGGCTCCATCTGTGCTCTGTAGCTGTGCCTTCCTGGCCCCAAAACAAGGCCTGGGGGGCTCCCAAGCAGAGCCAGCTCAGCGCAAAGCCCCCTCGCCCTGCAGCTCTCGCAGTATCTTCCTTTCTAACTTGGATTTCCTCTTGTTTTTCTGCTCCAGCGATACGGAAGCTCAGTGTGAGGTCATGCAGGAAATCGTGGATCAAGTCCTGGAGGTAAAGGGCTCCGCTTTGCCCTCTGCAGGGCTGAGCTGGGCGGGATGGCAGCAGCGCTGCTCGGGAGCTGGGGGCCCTGCTGCTGCTCAGCCCTGCAGTTTTGCAGCTCCAGAGCAGCTCGGCGTCGCTCCCAGCAGCGCTGCTGCATCCCCATGCAGGGGGCGAGCATCCCTCCCTCCTCATCCTCCCTTTCTCCCCCCCCAGGAGGACTTTGACTCCGAGCAGCTATCAGTGCTTGCCTCCTGCCTCCAGGAGCTCTTTAAGGCTCACTTCCGCGGGGAGGTTTTGCCGGAAGAGATCACAGAGGAGTAAGGATTCATCCCTCTCTCTTTCATCCTTTCGCCCCGGGGTTTTGCCCTGCGAAACTTCCTCCGTTTGCAGAGAGCCGTGCTTGAAAGCAGCAGCTCTGCAGGGCTCACAGGAGCGCAGCTCACAGCCACGGCGCCAGGGCTCCCTTCAGGCTGCCCAGCCTGAGCTCTCGGTGCCACGCTCGCAAACCAGCCCTCTTAGCACCGTTCCCCTCATTTGGGGCCGAGCCCTGGGGTCCCACAGCTCTGCCCCCCCTTTGGGGCAGCGCCCACGGGGCTCTGAGCGCCGCCTTTGTCCCGCAGGTCTCTGGAGGAGTCGGTGGGGAAACCGCTCTACCTCATCTTTAGGTCGGTCTGCTCTCAGAATGGCCCAGCCAGTGTCCCATTGCCACTGCGTGTCCTGCCCCAATATCCCATAGCCCATCCCCAGTGTGTGCCCCATCCCCAATATCCTGACCCCAGTGTGTGTCCCACCCCTAATAACCCATCCCAATATCCCACCCCAATGTGTGTCCCACCCCAGTATCCCCATATCCTGGCCCCACTGTGTGTCCAGCCCCAATATCCCATATCCCATCCCCAGTGTGTGCCCCATCCCCATATCCCACCCCCAATGTGT